ATAATGGATAACTAGTCATATTTTGAACTCTACATAACAGGTTGTTTTTTTTACAGTTATGACAATCAAACAGTATTTATATTGGTATTTCAATCTAAATTTAACCGCATATTTGATTATAATAAAATGAATTTTGCATTTCTAATTGCAATAAACAATCATATGATTGAAATTTGATAGTTCTATCAAATTTTTGGTAGAATGTAGGAAATAATAATAAAACGTTGATTCTAAGGTCTTGTATTTTCATATATCATAACTAGAACTTTCAAGTTTTTTTCGCAAAGTACTTTTGTTATCAAATTGAACATAAAATCTGGGTCTTGATAAGAATATTTTGCTTGTCAGTACTAATACTTACTTCAAATGGAAATTGATACTTTTGTGGAATTTATCAAAGATATTGTAAGCTATTGAGTAAGGAACTGAAGACGTTTTTAGCAAGAAAAGTTCTATAAACAAAGGTTAATAAAGTAATCTAGCCACTGGTAGAAATACTAAAATATAAAATATTCTTTATCATTTTGTATGACGGTTTTTCATTGAAAAATTATTCCTTAATATTTACCATGCAATGCTTGTAAAATTTTCTAATTAACATTCTTCGTGTAGTTACTTAGTGGTAATTACATTTCTACACTGAAAACAGGCATATTCAAAACATCAACTTATGATACAGATATACCTATATTCATTGTATGCTTACATGAGTAAATTAATAGGTAGATTCTTATACTGCATTTATTGTCTATTGGCGAATAATAAGTAATAGTACTCAAAACTAAAAGTGCTTGGGTACTCTTAATCCAACTACTACATCCCTTCTGGCTCTAACTAAATATACATTTTTGCCGTTTGTGTATGCTGCAGTTCAAGAACAAAAAGTCACTTATAATTTACCAAAACAGTTATGTAGGCTTTGTTGTACAAATATGAGTCGTCTGCAACTTAATGATATCAAATGATTAAAACACTCTACTCAATTCTTTATCCGAGTAGAACTTTTCAAAATATAGGACGAAAAACGCTAATATAAATAACAAAGCAAATATAGATCAGAAAATTAATCAGATGTAGAGTCTGAAAATGTTTCAATGCATTTAAGCAAATCCATAGACCTCAGAAAGCTAGTAACTAAAGTGAGTTTCTTGTTCTAAGGTCCCAGTTGTGATCGCTTCTGTGATGCTCTCGCTAAAACAAGATTAAGGGATTTTTTAAACAAGATTTTGGTTTCTGAAATATGAACTCGGTAGCTTTCGTAGTTTGATTGACTATTGCAGTGTAAGACTATAAACACCATGTTTCGGAGATGGTTTCCATAATACAGTGTTTCTGATAACATACAATGAAACGGTATCCATTTTCAAGAACATATACTATTCTTACAGATCAAGATTATAAATGAAAAAGCTAATAAAGAATCAACATTCACTTAATTTGCATATGCCATGTTTTTATCAATAGTTTGTTTACCACGATAAGGCCTACACTATTTTTCACCTTAATCCATCCTCTATATTTTTTAGATAAAGTGACGGTTATTGTGTATGCTTGAAATATTGACTATTCCAAAAGTTTGCGGGACATGTTTGGGTTTCAGGTTGTGACCCTGAAATACGAAGGTAACCTAACTCGGTGAGAATTAGCCAAACGCTAGTTTTTGATGCCGCGCTTCAAGCATATACTAATATTTTCTATGTAGTGGGTAGCCAGTAAGTAGACCTGATATCGAGATTTTCGTCATCACGTAAATTTACGAATACATTGGAACCAAATTACATTTGCGTCACTGAGTTTATTACCACTGCTCATGCCCGACTTAGTGAAATTATTAAATAACAGAGACAATACTTTTCAACTGGTTGTATACAATGGTGGCAAACAACTGATACTCTGAGATGACATAGTGATAGTAATGAAATGTGCATCAAAAGCCACCAACACACACTTATCAATTTTGTGTCACAAAGAATTGAAAAGCTATGTAAATAATCAGTTTTCAAGAGATGAACGTATTGGAAAATAAGGAAGAATATTGGGAAGTCGGGGAGCATCTAACTTTTGTGAAGTAATTTAGGCAATATGTCGTGCAAATTTCTATGCATCAGCCTAACTGACCTGTTTGGATGTAACTTTTTGACCTTTTCTTCACAAAATGATTCAAGTTCAGCATAACGTCCGACTTCACCAGACCTGAAATTATAACATATGTAACACTGGTCAATACCTCAAGGTTTTCAATATTTTCTCCAGTTCATATGGGTCATTGCAAGAGTCAAGATATTTAAAGTCCAAATGTGATATAGGAATATCATAGGTTTTTGTTCTTTCGCTAAAGTAAACACTATCACTCATTGATAGGATAAATTGGAGTCAAACAACTGCTGTTTTCAGTAATTAGCACGTTTAAGCAATAAAACAAATCATTCTATACTTTAAGTCATTAGTAATAAATATGAAAGAATTGCCCATTTGAGGTACGTTTTCTGGTAATGTTTTCTCTGAATGTTCTATTTTCTGCCATAAATGTCGACTCATGTGCTTATATTATCAGTTCAGACAAAATATTCCAACAGCTGACTGACTTACTGACGCCTGTTTCTGAAAAAAGATTATACCCTTCCACACAGTTTACAAGAGTCATCCGAATTATCTTTCCGATTAGTTCGACAACCACATTGATTAAACTAACGGATTGGTAGTTATTAACCAAGTCTCTGCTCCCCGTCTTATACATTGAAAAGATTACTGTATCTTTTCAGTCTCTTGGAAGTCTGGAATGCTTCAGAGATGTGTCAACCAGTATGGGTATCGGTTCTGCAATTACGCCTGATTGGACTTTCCTAATCCTACGTTGAATATCATCAGGACCACTGGATTTATCAGGTTTGAAATTGTGAAGTAGTCTTAAGGCAGTGTAACGGTAAATAAATCCCCAAAATAAATAGCTCTGTAGGTTCTCGACATTGGATACTGACCACATTTTTTAATGGACTAACCTAGCTGAAGGAGCTCTGTCATGCATCTGCACCAGATCACGAGTGGGAACGCCGTGCTCAACATCTACAGCAATCGCTAGCCAGATTAGATCAGGCGAAACTTGATATACTGACAGACTATCAAATATATCTTCGAACCTCCTCGCCTCTGTCTTTTGATTTCACTTGGTGGGTATGTTTCATATTAGAAGGTGTTACTGGTTGACGCGTTGTCAAACTGCGAGTACCTGTGGCATCATCAGCAGTACCATTCTCAATAGCTACAGGGTCCATCAACAAGCCGCCGCAATCACAATTATTCGTTAGTCGCTCTTCGTTGCTGATAGAAAACATTTTACTGGAATATCCCGATAAAGCTTCAACTTTTTCGACGTCATCTCTTATCCATATTACCGAATTTTCTTGTACCAAAAGTGATGAAGTTCCATCACTTTTCTGAGTTCGTCTTTCCATATATACCAAGCATTGCATAAACGAAGACGTAACTGAACTAAGATTTCCTTCAAATATAGAGCATGTTTCTTCAACTGATAAGGTAGTATCTACTGACCAATCTGTCTTAGCCGCGCACTCCTGAATGACCGATATGTTAGCTCTCCATATATCAGGGCGAGGTCTAACCTGATCGTATATCATGTCACTAGTTCTTGCCATGAATGGCAAAACAGTGTGATCGCTATTCATTAACGGTGGAAGAATACTTAGGTTGGCAACATACTAAGTCGCATGATTGATTACCAAGTCTAACAAAGAATAACCTTTGTTTGCTCTGAAACGTGTAGGTTTGGATACATGCTATTCTAATGCATGCTCCATCACTGTTATCAGGAACATCCTGTAAAAGGAGTTTATAGATCCTACCGTGGCCATCGCAGTCCAACTAATATCAAATGCATTAACGTCTCCTAATATCAAACATATGCTATCTACATACCATAGCTGTATGTGCTCTAAAATAAAATCATCAGCTAAGTAAATTGGGCTGCGATAGATGACACTGAGTATAAATGTATAACATCCGATAGTCAGCTCACAGCTAATGGCTTCACAAGTTCTACTATCATGGGACTAACAAGCTAATGAGAAGATATTTACATAATTGGCTATGTATAAAATGACGCCACCTCCTTTCTTATATCTATGTCTATCACTTCTTAGGTAATGGTATCCGGATAATTCTGGAGTAATGTTGAAGTCATGGATTGACCAAGTTTCTGTCACAGCCACAATGAGTGACTTTAACTTGTCCACTATCGCTCCTAATTCATAGAATCTACTTCTCAGACTACGAGTATTGGTACACAAAACTCCTAGTTAGACCGGCCTATAAACACATTTTATAGGGCGTGGAACACTAATGTAGGATCTATTTGTAATCTAAGGAAACAGAAAGAGATTTGGATGTCTGAAACACTTGCATTTATTCTCACTAATATTCCTGTAATATCGTTATTTCTGTTATACGACAATTAAGGTAGCCATTGTAAATGGTTACAACGGAGTAGTCGAAGCTAGGTATTAACCACGAGGTGCGACTTCAAAGTAAGCTGAGAGGTAATGTCATTACTGTTCAGCTGGGATATGCTTGCAATTACCGACACATGTAGCGTGATGTCGAGTTGAGATTAACTATGAACACCGCTAACAAAAAACACGTGCCAAGTAAATCAGATGGCGAAGGTTGAACGTAACCAAATAAATCCATAAAATCCCCGAGAAGCCAAATATCAGAAGACAATTAGTGGACCAAATCGAGATATATTCGTTGGCGATCTCGTGTTATCGAAAGGATACCGAGATCGTGCCAGGATACAAACTTGGTTACAGAACGTAACCGAATTCGCGCGAATTCACAATCAAAGTGTAAGAATAAGAATGGAAGCACAATATAGCTATCATTGGCACAGTCAAACAAAAGCACATTAAAACAAACACTGGTTCAGTTGGTTATAATAACAATTGTTTTTATTAAACCAGTCGTGTTCTCGTGATAAATGTGAGTCACTACACACAGATCATCTACGTCGGTGGTCAACAAACACATCCAGTCGCGTCATTACCCACGTTAGAAGAGCCAAAATACTGACACATAGCGCAAAGATCCGTAAAGCTTTCGAACTTTATTTGTTTTGTGCTTTTTTCTTAATATACGCTTTTTTCATCATCATCAGCCAGGAGTAGAAATTCAATCATCAAGGTCACTCAAGACGTCATTCAGTTAGAGGAGAGGTATAGTCTCATCTAGTTTTACACTAAATTACCCGTTTATCTAGTTGTTTGTGTTTCTTCACGATCTAAGGTCTTAGATTTTCTGACATCTAAGGTCTGTCATCCAAATAATAGTTTGTCGGCTTGTGCTAGTCCTCATAACAGTGCTTTTGTAGCCACAGAATAATTTATTATCTTGTACTAGAAAACTTAACGATTAATTTCACTTCTTGCAGAAAGTATTGATTAATAAGGTAAGCAATGTCGCATCCATTCTTTGGCATACTTTATAACATATTTTCAAAGTATATATATATATATAACTGCATATGCTGGTTAAAATACTTTGAATAAAAGTTTTTATGAAATGAGCATGATACTTTGAACATCTTATCAATGCTGATATTTTTCCTTACAACCTGTGCACTCAACGCTTCTGAGATTGCCTAAACTTTGGGACTTTCGAATTTTGTCCGAAATTACCAGTATTCTGATTCATTCAGATGTTTATTATGATGGTTAAAAATATTCGTTGTCTATTGTCTTGACGTTTATGTCAGTCACCCAATGTGATGCAACGTAGAACCTGGTGCACATGCATGTAGGTTTACGTTGCCACACCCCATTAGTACAGAGAGATGACATTGTTAGTGCAAATTGCAGAATAGTAGAGGTGGTAAGTAGAATTTAGAAACCTGAGATCTAATGAACGACAAAGATTGGATGCCACTTCATCACTACAAACGATTCTGAGACGTCATGAAAAGTCTCTACTCGTTCTCTGTGATAGTCCAGACCCAAATCAGGTAGTCCATCTGTTAACATAACACTCTTCATTTGTTAGCGACTTCATAGACTTGCACTACGTTTTAATTTAGCCACCCCTAGCTTCCAACCTACTCACAGCAGACAACAAAGCCTGTCAAGGTAGGCGGTAATTGGGCATCCGTAACATCTCCCAGCCACCTCAGTTAGTGAAGATTTACAACCTCACCAATCCATTTACCATCTTTACCTAGTGCCTTATCCCTGGCCCTGACGTCACCTACTCGTTTTTCCTAAAGTATACAAGAAATTATTCGGAGACACTTATAGTCGAACACTAGTTACCTACGGATATCCCATATTCCTATTGATCATGTTTCACATCCATAAAATAAAACGGTGTGAATCGCTGCTGGATAAAGTGCATTCTCGGGACCTAACCTAGTGGCTACTTATCGAGGGTACTATGTAATCGTCTTGCTGTCTCAAAAAGTTATGGAAGATACAATGGTAACAGTTTTATCCTGGATTTGTCTGAATATGATCGTTTTAGCGACATGACCTAGGAATGTCGGATTTAACCTCACGTAAAGTTTTATGGACTGACTGCTGAGTGACAAGGTGAGATTCAATGGATGTCCAGTTTACCCCAGTTTTCTCGAATTTTCCGACCGGTTTTACTTCATGATAAGATTAGACTTTAAATTAAACAATTTCCCATAAAGACCGATTAAATCGATGTACTTGTTCCCGTATGTTTATCCTTTTCCTCTGGTATTATGCTCGTTTTATGGCATTTTTCCAAGTCCTATTGAGGAGTGATAAGTTAAGCAACTTCATCCCGCTGCCATGAATCATTAAATCCCTATATTTTTTATTCATCTGACCAAATAAATATTGTTACAGGAGTATCTATACTACAATCTTACCCGAAGCCACTGATTATTTTATTCGATCGCTAACTATTGTTACGTTCCTCGATATATTTGATGCTCACATAAATTGTGAATAGAAACCCTACATTCACTTACTGCCTACCAAAATATAAACTTCCAGCATCCCACGTAATTAGACTAATTTGTTTGTCTCAATCTGTGATTCATTGGTCTCCTTGTTCATTAAGTATCAAAATATTGGTTTAAGATCAACTTAATCTAAAGAGCTAAGTGGTATAGTTATCATATTTAAGTATGGGATCGTTCAAAAAATAATTTTAGTTGTTACGGGGTTATACTAGCTATACAATTATATATTTAAACAATATCTGTTTTTAGGCCTTTTTGTAACAATGTCTTCAAATCCAAACGACGTGACAGATCTTATAGCAAAAGCTGAAAAATGGTATACCGTACATTTTGTCTTTTAATAACTCGATTCAGCTTAAAGATATCTTTACTAAAGAGGAGGCCTGATTATGATGGTGCAATCGAATACTATGGAAAGGCTGCATTACTTCATAGAAATCGCAAGCAGTTAAAAGAAGCGGCTGAGACATATAAAAAGGTAGTTTCGTCTCTTAGAGATCGTTAGTCCTCAGGTTGCTGAACTGCATTTTAAAAATGGGTCTTATTTCCATTGCGCCAAACAATATGAAATTGCTGCACAAATGTACCGTGATTTGAAAGATTTTTCACAAATGGCTTCATTAATTGCTGAGGCTGGACTGATGCTACGGCAAAATGGCACTCCTGACTCAGCATCATATGTTTATGAACGAGCTGCCAAGTACATCATTATTTCTCCTTAATACAATGTCATATAGAAGCCTTGAAGAGCCATTACCCGAACGTGCCGCTGAATTTTATGAAAGATCTGCAGATGCTTGTGAGGTTAGTTTCTATATATCGTAGCAATTACATTAAAAAATACAGAAACCCTGTCACATATATTTATAGTACAGTAAAAAATTTAGCCATAGTTTATTTTTTAGCTAATAAATCTCTATTATTCTCGTTTACTTGTATCCTTTTAAACACTATTTGTTATGGTTATCAGATAGAAGAAAAATTTCATGAAGCTGCAACACAGGCTAACAATGCTGCTCATATATGGGTTCGTTTAAAGCGTTTTAACGAAGCAGAACGTCTACTTCGATTATTTATTGATTACACAACAAGAGGTCACGCGGATAGTGTTGGAGCTACGGTAGGTGGATTTGCTGATCCCAGTGCTTCACCAAAGCTGTGTGGTCGTGCTGTGACAGTTCTAATATTGATTAAATTGTATATGGAGGATGAAGTAGCAGCCAAAAAGATCTTCAATGAAGCTGTTGAGTAAGCATGCCTGTCCTTTTACCAATAAATTCTTTTTCAGTACAGGTTTTTGCGAGGTTTAAAAGGAAACTTGTATTTGTTATAGCTTATGAGTCTACAATCATATTAGTGGTTGGGAATACTCCAAAGCTTCCTAAACTAATACACCTTCGTAAGGTTGAAAAATCATAATTATGTAGTATTTTACTTTATAAATAACACTAATTAACATCTCAAATACATTTTAATAGCTGAGTGCGTATAATTCTATTTTGACTCGGGAGACATTAAACGTAAGATTTTACCATCTCCTTTTTTCGTTTTAGTTTACTTTCCATCAGGTTAGCATTTATATCGTAAATTTAAGTACGTTTTCCACCTAAAAATCATGTAAATTTAGTGTTTACTAGGTTATCAGTCTCGTTTACGTTGTGAGAAGAAAATACACTGCTCAGGCATAGTAGGTGATAGTAAATGTTCGAGCTTGACAAGCAAAAGTTTGGAAACCCTGGCCTCAATTTTAATTCCAACATTATTTTTACATTGTTAAACACTTCTATCTTTTAAAGTCTGATTAAAAAGTAAGACATTGATGACCAAAAATATCTGTTCATCATTTGTACATATTTCTTTTGAAAGGAAGTGGTCATTAATATCATCCATACTGTTCTTATTTGTCATCTTAAGGCGATGGAGATTTCCGGAAGCTGAAGAATTTTCTGCAGTGAGGCGACTACTAGCTGCCGTCGATGATATGGATAAAAAGGCTTGTGAAATGGCAATAAAGGATCAGTGCTTCAGAATGCTTGACCTAGATGTAAGTTTTGTACGTTTATCCAATTGTTTCTCCTAGTACAAAACACTGACTTTTAATTTTCGCTGTTATTACTGAATGGTTTTTGTAAGAAAAATGGAGTTCATCCCTCATCACTATATTTTTTTACATTCTGACTAAAATAGTTATAACGCAAAAATAATAAACATTGATTGATTGATTCTACTTTATTTGAATATGTTTGCCGTAGTAAACTTCAATTTTAGAGCGGTAGCTCAGTAATAATTACGGTTTTCAACTTTCAGCTTCTAAGTCGCTTATCCAAACCATGTTTTATCTACTTTGTTTTGACCAATCAAGCAGTTTTACATAGCCTTATTACACCGCAAGTGTGGTTCAAAGCCGGTTATGCGAAGTCTGTACCCTGTAATGAAACAAAAGAAAACAATCATATCTAGATGAATAGTGTTTTCTATCATCAGTTCAGTATTATGTTTACAACACTTGATCACCTATGGGAAGCCAACTAAAAAAATGAATGTATATTTGTATTTTAGAATTTATCAATAAATAGGTTCATCAGCCTTTTTAGGCATCAAACGTAGGATTCATGGTCAACATTTTAGTTTCCAAAAGCAGTAGATTTATCTTTTATAATTTTAACTTTTTCCAATCTGAACTGATTCGCGGTGCAGATTAATTCGAATAGGAGACTTTAATTTGAACTGATGAAAGTATGAGACTGTTATTTTTAATCTAATCAATTATTAACACTGAATTGCCACAGTTAGACAATAAAACAAAAAAAAAGGTTTTTATTCGATCACACAATGATCTCCATTGTAGAAGAATTCAATATTTTTTATTGGCTAGTGTTGTCTTGAATACACTCAAGTTATTTGCTTCATCCCTTAAAAATATCATAAGTGTTGTGACTTTATGTCCGACTTTTTATCACGTGATTTATCCACCAACCAAAATACGACTTACAAAATCTTCGCATCGTGCCAAACCAATGACTTTCGACCGGTATGAGCAGCCTAGCGTCCTTATTGGTCCTATGTTCGCCTAGCCCATCCCCTTGAGTCCAGAACAACAATACCAGCTTCCGATATGCGAATCGAATAATTTGTTTCAGACATACTGGGTTTATATATCAATCAAACAGATCTCAACGCACAATAAAATAGAAACTAACATTTGTACACAACAAAGCCAAAAAGTGACTGTGAACGTAGGAGGCAGTAGTTAATAAACTGAACACAGCTTACGAACAGTAAATCGTACAATAATAAATTATAGGTCAAAATAAAGCCTATAATAAGAGGGATATAAATAAACATAATAATAATTATTGAATAGTTATACCATAAGAATGTATAGATAATATTAGTCAATTAATATGTCTCAGAAGTTACTCGTGGTTTAATCTTCGCTCGGATATAACAATAAGTAGTTGTAAATTGTTAAAAGTTATTGAATGTGATCAAGTAGATAAAGTACTTATTCAAAGTTTTCAGCAAATCTCACTGATTTCATAAGGTCAGAAATGATTTTTATGAACCTTACTGGAACATCTATCAATAAAATATAACTGTGAATATAATTTGATTGACAACTTATTAAGATGAATTTCATACTATGTAGTAAAATGACAATCATAATGTAGCCTTTTCAAGCTATTAATTTAGTGATAATTAGTTTGTGATATGGTTGTTTGATAGAATTTATCAAACATCAATATGTGTTAAGTTGGTCAATTTATTTATGTTCTGTTTCATGATTCAAATCGGTTACGATACACACTATTTTATAATATATCAAAATAAATATGAATTATGATGTATACAATTCATAAATATATAGACGTTTGTCCTTCCGGCCCCACATAAAGGCACACAGGTTGCGATTTTCAAAAAGTGCATAAATGACTTCCTTTCATAGTACGCGTCATATATAACTTATCGCTTACCATTTGTAGTTTTCCATCTGATCATTCCCCTTTTGTGATAAGTCCATCTTTCTTATGTGATTCAATTGATATGAGGGGGATATCAATTTGAAGTTAATCTTTATTAAAGAAGATGAATTCTACGATTAACGTCTACTTTATCTGGATATGAATCTAAGCTACACATTTCTTTCTTTGTAGCATTCAGTTATCTTGTTAAAATGTAGTGCTTAACATTTCCCAACAAATTCATAACCATTAAATTTCAGTAAATTTTTTAATATGTAGGCGAGAATGTTGGAGAATGCTGGTCGGCGGCCTATGCTCCATTGGGAGTAACAGGCTTAAGTAAGTAAGGCGAGAATGTTAATGATTGGTTGTCTGCTTAGCCAGACATGTAGATAGTCTGATTGGTGTTAGATGAGTTATATATTCCCCCTATCCTTATTATTATTACTCACTTATTATTGATTGTTTATTGTTGTTGGATTGTGTCGGGTTTTTGATGTGGAAAAATATTTAAGTTCTAGTCAGTCTAATCACGTGTTCTTGATCATCTGAGTTGTGTTGAAGTCCTGTAGAATAGACACTGAAAGAGAATCTAGCATAGATATTTTCGTCTAAGGTAAATTAACCATCCCATACATGTAGATGAAGTAAAACTAACCATGATAACATTTTTGTTTAAAATTATTTCATCTCAATATTCATTTATACTTTATTTTATTTCTTTGACATATATATCTTACATACAGTATGCTCGTCTAGCAAAAGAAATTAAATTCCCTTATAATGATAATGTTTCTGAACAAATACAAAAATCAAAAGACAGTTTCATTTCAACATCAACAAATTCAGGGAACTTAAATAATCCAATACAAGATGGTAACCAAGGAGATGCACAAGAAGAAGAAGAAGAGGAAGAAGAAGAAGATATTTGTTAATTTATTTTCTGATTTCTTATTGAATCACTTGATCTTTTCATTATTATTTGATAAGAATTTCCTTTGAACTGAAATCATGACATTACAAGGGATATACATATATATATACTACTGATATACTCATATGAATGCTAATTATTTATTAGCTTTACTATACACATTCCTATATTTTAGCGCATAATTTACCCGTAATTACAAAAATTTCTCTAATTATTTATATTCTACACATTTTTTTTGTATTCTATATGCTTTCCTTCTATTTTCTTCTGTTGTTGTTGTGTATATTGATGAATTTAATTATTCATCTGTGCATTTCAAATGTCTAAGATAATGCGATGAATAAATAGATACGTAATATATTACTTATTTAATCAGTTATTATCATATTACGTTTCAGTTATGTCAGTCAGCTACAACGTAGGACCACGCACATATGTGCATCGGTTCAAGTTGCTATACCTCATTAACACAACAAGATGAACAATGGATTCAGATTAACTATAACCTTTTGAACTTCAGATAAAGTCGGGGGACCTACTTCAATGTTCCATTCATGCGGTCTGGAAATGGTGGTTAGTTGTAGAGTAGCTGAAAGCTAGTTGAATTGCTCCTTAAAATGTTCCATCCATCGTTCTAAACGTCTAAACTGGGAGCAGATAGGAGTGTCGTCTTTTGCTGAGATAGTCTCACTTACACTTGGTTTATTAATTCGAGTTTTTTTTATTAGTCTATCGAGCTGTCTTGTGTTACCTGCAGCCGCCCCCTTTTCTATCTCTTTATGTTATGTTGTTCATTACGTTTGTACAGAAATAATGACTTAGAATACTCATGACTTTCTATAAGTTAATTAAACTAGAAATTGTAAAGAGATTTAAGAGAATTAACTACTTTTATGAATCCGGTGTCCATCATGTTGTGTTAATGAGGTATGGCAACTTGGACCGATGCATATATGTGCCTGGTCCTACGTTGTTATGATAGAATAAAATTTGAAGTGTTTGTATTAGGTTTGTGCAGTCAGTTTAAGATAAGCATTTCTTCTTGTTGACCCATCTTCAGTTCTCTTCAGACGAGAGCCTTGATGAAGAATTCATTGCAAAGAAAGGTTTCTTAACTCAAATTGTCTTTTTAATATCTTAACAGGAATATTCAATGAAAATATTATTCTGTTAGTAAATTTTCAAATTATATCGTAAAGATAGTGTTCATTTCACAGAGAGATGAAATTAGCACAAAATATTTTTGATTGAAATCATGAACCGAACAATGTTACACCATCATTGAAAACCTGGAAGCACTGGACGGCCGTTTCGTCCTATCGTGGGACTCCTCAGTAGTGCACGTCCATGATCCCGCCCCTCGGGATTCGAACCCAGGGCCTTTGGTCTCGCGCGCGAACGCTTAACTCCCAGATCACTGAGTCGGTATTCAGCGGTGTTAATGTCTAACCTCAACTAATACACGAAATTGCGCGACCATCTTTTAATGTACTGAGTTAGATACCTGTCCTTACCCGACACGGATTAGCTCCACTGGTCACGGCTTCTCACTAAAAGTTCGAGAATTCCCTCATGAAGCTAGTCATTAGTGAGCACATGGTAACTATCAGTATGGTGTTGTGGAGATTACTGAGTTTTTGGTTGGGATTGGATGCACACAATAGGACGAAACGGCCGTCCAATGCTTCCAAGTTTCCAATGGTGGTCTAACACTAATCGGTTCATGATCTCAATCAAGACAGACTCTGCGTTCAGTCATCTACAAGGTAAGTAGAAGTCTTCCAAAGACAATTAGACTATATCTTCTTTGCATTATTAATTTCCCTGTTTAAAAATAAAATTTTAAATACCTTTATTTATTCTACCTCACTGTCACTATGTCTAACCGAAGTTTATTATCATTATTATTGTAATTAATATCCTCCTGTAAAAATAAGTATACATATTTGCAATTGTACAGCTTTGAAAATGAATTCGCTGAAAACAGAACTTTTCGATTTATTTGGTTTCACGATTATCTGATTCTTACATGTGTATTATACGACAAGAGAACTGTCTAATACAGAACTTTCATTTAATGATATAATAATAGAGATCCAGATGGACAACACTTGAACTTAATTACACTATGTGACCAAAACTCTACAATGTAATAAATATCAAAATTCTCTTCTTTATAAAATAAATATGTGTAATATGAAAGATGAAGAATATCTGTCTGTACAAAAAACAGTAGTCATTATACGTATTTACATACAAAATAAAGTTTATAGAGTTTACTTTTCCTCTTTACATGTTTCATTTAATTTGACATTATCAGTGTTACTTTGCATATCATCCTGTTCAGATTGATTATTATGTGTATCAGGTGTTGATTTACAATTATCATTATCAACATCATCATTACCAACTTCGGTTTCTGTTTCGCTACCTAACTTTGATAGCATTGCAGTCATCAGTTCAGCGACTATACCAGGTTGACGTGATTCTAGTTCATTCTGTGTAGAGAGAAAAGTATAAACGTAAATATTTTAACCAATCATTTATGAGATCAGAAATAATGATAAATACTATTCAGTCAGTCATTATAACTCCTAGCACGAATGTATATTAATTTGTGTCTTCACAGTGTAAGAGGAAACTGAGATTATAAACGAAGAAGGTGAAATAATAATGTTGTCTGCAGTATAAAACTAAACATACAAGAAAGAGTCCGATGTTAGGTATTTGGATGTAGTCGGCAAAAAGTTCTGCATTTAGGTTCCTTACTAGGTAGCCCTCGTCAATAAGACATAGCTGCAGTTTTGAGGGAACTGATACTCTCCGGTGGGTTGGAATCCAGATCATACAGTTTCAGATCAGCGAGCTATTCGAGTCGCAACTAATTTGCAGGATTGAGATACACAGATTAGTAGTATTTTTCTAGTCATTATTGCTGACCGAATCGATCAAGCTGTGAAACTGAACGATCCGAATTCGAATGTACCAGAGAGCATCAGTTCCCTTTAGATTAAAAGTACGCTTTGGTGAAGAGTGCCAATATGCACGAAACATAAATTCCTGCTGACTGTCTCCAACTACCTAACATCAAAATATAATATATGCAATATCGAATCACTAAGACTATTGACCACACTGAAGCTTAGTCGATACAATTTAGTTGGCACTAAAACAACTAGACAGACATAACATTTGCCACTACTCAATGACCAGTCAGAATATATAGTTTACAACCAACAAATAAGAATTATAGAATAGGAAGGATAAAAGACGTCGCCAACTATTGTTGTTAATTATCTTGTGAGGTACAAAATAGGAATCTATACATACGAATAAGATCAAAAGTCAATGTCTTCATGGATTGGTGCCTTTTTTGTCTGGATAGTCCTAGACTTTTCACCAACCTACTTCACAGTTTATTCACCACTGAATAACATATGACAGTTGTTAATGTATTATATATATAGTAAGTAAGTAAGGACGAATATAATTAACTGTATGAGCTTAACTCTAATATATATGAATATTTATACGGCAATTTGACTCGATGCCCCCAAATGCCCTGGTATGGCCGAGTGGGATGGGTCCGCCCTCCCTCTCGAAATGCTCTCACATGGCCATGAGTACACAGCCTTTGCCAGAAAAGTCCTACTCACTGCCTTCCCGTCAAGGGGGTGTTGTTTACGAAATTGAGAGGACGAAAAGCGAGTGTCCGGAGCTTTAACCGGATTCCAAACCAATGGTGAACATGGGCTCCAGTATCCTAAAGGAACAAATGGCGTATGAACCGATCGTTGGTCACCGGCTACTATGGGATGGCATCTCCTCACGATGTTCCATTGCCTTGTGGGTCAGACCTTCAGGCCCAAGGCTCAGGGTGTGGCCCCCTGAGAAAACCACCTGCTTCGGTCTGGGCACCCGGGCAGTATCACAGCCCTCACACAAATCGAATGATTTATGTGGCGCATATGTATTTGGTGCCTCCATGTACCAATGTTTATGTGTTTAAATAAATAATAAATAATTTGACTCGATAATCACAATGAATTAGAATAAGCCACCAAACATAATAGATAAAAGTACAAGTTGATAGTAGGAAGACAGGCATACTGATCGTAGTAAGAATAATAAAATACGATAACAAGTCATATCAATAGTTAAACATTGGAAATAGGTCAAATGTGGATAAATAGACTTAGAATAATCATCAAGAAACATTAAAACCATTACGTAATAAGAAGTGTGTAAATAATTAGATAGTGGAGAATACAAACGGAAAGAGGCAAACAATTACAAACAAATACAGGTATATAAAAATGATGATAATGATAACAAAAATAAAATAAAAAGTCGTTTGTTAAGTGATAACTGGTCACAGAAGGGATAGGGGGGCTGCGAATTTCTGCTGTACACATAAATTGGGATTAAATGTACGAATTCCTATGGCTTTAGCTATATGTAAGAGATGGGAACGAACTCCATTAGGAAATGATGGAGGTATACGATGGGTCACTTGAAATGATCCCGATTTATCTACAGTATGACCGCTATCAATAAGATGTGCCAAGATAGAACTGCGTAATGTTCTTAACTGGTCCTTTATAAACCAAGCTGGTAGATGTTCCACTCATTGGTTGGTTAAGTTGCCTGGTAGTATTTAATATTTAAACCGTTTCAGAGGAACTATCTTAACAGTAAACAGAACAAAAACAAAATAAATTTGGAGAAGAGTTTTTCATCGTAAATATGTTTTTTGATTTGGAGAAATCGATCATTACAATTTTTTTACACACTACTATTCAACATATTACTTACCTGTAAAGTTTCAACAACTGATTCAGTTTGATTTATTTGTTGTTGCAAGATTAACAAACTACTTTGAAGACCTTCTAAATCTGTATAGGCTTCTTCTAGTACACCTTCAATGTCTAATAGAATATGTAGAAGTTTTGAAATAATATTTTAGTTAATATGATTTTTTTAAAAATGAACTTGCAGTATATGAATGTGATACAGTGTTCATTGAAAATCACGACGGTTAGAACCGGAGATTACTTTGATAAGGATTATACAACTACTTACACTGAGTGGGTTTTTTTTCGTTAACCTAATGAATTGTAATTTGAACTTCTAGTTTGAAATGTGTTACTAGTCAACAATATTTTAGAGTTGAATAAAACTGCTATTTGTGGATATTTTTTGGAAATGATTCCAATCCATTTTCCAGGTATAATTACATTCAATAACTTTAAGCTTTATGAATCTATTTCTAAAATATACAAGATCTCAGAATAGGGCAACTTCCTAAAATAGGAATGACTCTATAATGGACTAATGAATATTGCTTTTAATTAGTTTATTTCCATATCTAAGTACTTGAGTTATTCGGTAGAATATTCATCCATGATAAGTATAGATCTTATCACAGTTAATAAAGTACGATGGTGCATATTATCAAGAATAATTATGTACATACTAAATGGAAAGGAGTTGGAATGTTAAGGGTGAAGTCTATTATCGACGTTTAATTAGAAGGGTGACACCAGAGAATTCAAAAGTACTTTTATATTTTATTTCGACTCACATTTGGTGGCCAACCATTGCAAATAGTTTGATGAAAGTAAAGGAGACGGAATAAATCTATATGTGCCGAGTGTTACAGCAATTTATGCCAATCTAGACGTTTTATGTCATTGTGACATTAATTTGGACAAAAATGGTCTGAAATGTCGATTAGGGGAATATAAATAACGGTCAGTCAGAACGTAGTAACCAAATGCTTGAAATTTAAAGAAAATGTGGTCAACAAATTAAAAGCTAGACCACAGTGGAAAACCTAGAAACACTAGACGGCCGTTTCGTCCTATTGTGGAACTCCTCAACAATGCACAACCACGATCCCACACCGCGAGATTCGAATCCAGGACCTATCGATCTCGCGCGCGATCGTTTAAGCTCTAGACCATTGGGCCGGTATCCAACGGTGTTAATGCCTAACTTCATAAATTTGCACCACCGTCCACCACTGTCTTCAGTGAGTTACTATCTATGAGGAGTCCCAAACTAGGACGAAACGGCTGTCCAATGCTTCCAGGTTTTCCATAGTAGTCTAGCTTAAATTGACTCATGAATCCAACTATTAAATTACCATAATATCTACAAACCCCCCCCCCTTCAAATTAGAAGAAATTAAGCAGAGTAAAAAACTGTGGAAGTTTGTTCTATTCGTTAATTGTTTTAACTCATTTTAATGATAATTTCATAGTAAATGTTATGGATGCTGAGGAATAATGTGCCAATCATTATCATGTTAAGTCTAATGATGTCCTTGGACGTTAAATGGACATTTCCTTTTGGCCATTATTTATTTCATTCGTTAAATATTGTACAGATGTTGTTTTCTATTTTTATGGTACGCTGTGATCTGTTTGGTTAGTATATAAATAGAGTATGTTTGAAATAGAATGATTCATAACTCAGAGGCTGTGACTTGCGTTCTAGACTCAACTGGCTGGGCTAGACAGGGAAGCGGGGCCAATCGGGACTCTAGGTCGTCCTTATATGTTTTACGCGTCAGATTCGATCGATAAATACGCTGCTTATCATAACCTGCAGTCACCCGTTACAACAGTAAAAACCATCAATTACTGAAGTAGAATTTTCTTAATAATTTTTAAAAAAAGTTTGGTAACTTTATATAAAAGTGTAATACCTTCATTGGTTTTGATAAATTCTTTCATACATGTTGTTTGTAATTCAGCTTCTGATTCTAATCTAGCTACACGATCAGTTTGATTGACTCGACCTAGTTCTTCATTAGCGTTTAACAATTGTCGAATACGTGACATTAATGATTTCCCTATTGTACTAAAAATAACAAATAAATATATATATATGGTAAACGAGAGCTTAGGTGGGGAAGACTAATTTATTGTTTAGTACTCAATTACACCGTCTTGGTGAATTATGGAAAACATACATTAAATACATCATTTACACATCTCTCATCAGTTGTCCTTTAACTAGTTAAATCATACTGATATGTAAATGGAACGTTAATGAACCAATCTTAATATTTGAAAGGTTGATTCGGTAACCAATAAACAGTAGTTCTCCAAATGTGTTTTATGAACGAACTATGTTTAGCGGGGTTCACAAATCATATATGAATATAGGATGTTTAGATTCATGACTAAATTTTTACAAAGTAAATAAAATAGTGAATCAACTTCGTACTGAATTCTCAACAAAGTTACAGGTTGCCTATGCTAAGAAATTAAGATAAACAACGAGAGAAAATGAAGGTTATAAATCAAAAATACAATACATATATTAAACACCGATTTATGTCTACTATTATAACAGGATGCATGACAATAAGTTATTGTTTTAACTAACATACATCATTTGTCATTTTACATTTTAAGGAATTAAATCTCATACCCGTTGCATCAGTGAGTGGCTATCCGGACTCAGTAGCTAAAAGGATAACACGATAACGTTTGGAGCAAACGGTACTGGGTTGGAGTTTCAGAGTGGACGTTAACTCTTGGATGCGAGTACATCCAGCTGACAAACACTAAATAAATCAAAATGAGCGTTCTAGATAACACCTCTGGCCACATTTTGTCAATTATATGTTGACAACATTATTGTTTTTCAATGGAAACAGAGAACATGTAATTGAAACAGTCCTACAGTAAATAAAGATTTTAATAACTGGTATATTCGGCGCATGAACTGGACAAAGTGTCTCTCCGATCCAATTATTTATTTATTTATTTGAACACACAAAAAGTGGTACAATAGGGCACCAAATATATGTGCGCCCTACAATAACAATGTGAGTGGGAAGGGAAAAATAATGTAAGGTGCGTATAAGAGAGAAAGGAAAAAAGGAAATAACGATCACAGATTAGTGTATGATAGTGTAATAATAATAACAATAATAATAATAATGGGGGAAACGAGAAGGTACAACCAGAAAGAAATCTTTCAGTTAAGGAAGAAGCAACCACTTTTTATGAAGAAAGTAAAAGTTTACAGCAGGATCGTCACTGGCTTCTATTCTGAGCCATATCTGATAACATCTCTACCACTTCGTTGCACCATCTCTCGGACCCCAGCCAGGGAGTCCAGAAGAACCAACAGAAGCCAGCCCTTTGCAGCTTTCTTTCATACCACAACACCATGTCATGCACTGACACCCTCTCCGCTTTTTTCAACCAGTCCCAGTGTCGGCAAATAATGCACAACGTGGACGACATTCGTAGAACATGTCCAAGCCACCGAAGTCGATGTTTCAAGATAGTGACACCAATTAGACTATCGTCTCTGCGCCCGAACACACGATGTCGAACCTCTGCATTACTAACATAGTGTTGCCACTGGATCTCAACAATACTTCGGAGACAACGATGATCAAACGCAGAGTCGTCTAACATCCTCAGCTCGGAGAGACCGGGTTTCACAAGCATGGAGCAAAACTGCTCTCACCGACGCGTTTTAGATCCGACCTTTTACAGACAGACTGACATCATGAAGGCGCCAAAGATGGCCCAGATTGGCATAAGCCACTCTGGCTTTCACTATACGTGAATCGGTCTCATCGCTCACGCCACCACCAGCACTTATGCAGCTACCTAGATACACGAACTTCTCGAATACTTCTATTTGCTCAATACCCAGAGTGAATGCAGGACCAGGGTCCTGTCAGTCTTATAAAAGTACTTTGCACTTTGAAGGTACAAAGCACATATCGTACCTACAGTACGGTACAATTAATACCAATCCAATTATTCATAAATTATTCATTAAAAACACACTGATATCCGAAAAAAATAACAATAACTTATGAAACTACATAAATGATACAATTCAAAAGTAAGTTTTAGTTATATAAACTGATACAAACAGGTCAAAATATCAGAACTATAAAACAAAAAACTGTTACTTGCCAGAAAATATTCTACCATTTTAGATACACTTAAACAAAATATTTATTAATTCAAAACGTTTAAAACAATTAACTCATTTGATAAACCTAGAAAATCCAATGAGACAATTGAGTTTATCAAAACTATTTGAAATATATTAAGACAATATATTTTGAACAATCTAATCACTCATGTATCTATTAAAGCCTTTATATATGAAAAAATAAAAGACAACTAGATAAATTGTAAGATAAACGAAAAGTAGAATATGGATAACCAATCGATATCACCAGGGTAAGTGCAGTATAAGTATAAATTATTTTCGAACACAAAACTGATTTGAATCTTTATATAAATAGGGATTCATCTAGTCTAAGTATTGGTTTTAGATAGCATCTATACAGAATTACAAAGGTTAAGGTAACATCAGACTTATAACCTATTTCAACTGTTTGTTTAATAACGGAAGATTACTTATTATTTATTTTAACACATAGATATTGGTACAAGAAGGCACCAAATACATATGCGACACACAAATCTCATTCGATATGTGTGAGGGCTGTGATACTGCCCGGATGCCCAAACCGAACCAGGTGGTTTTCTTAGAGGGCCAATCCCCGAGCCTTCGACCTGAAGGTTTGTTCCACAAGGCAGTGGAGCATCGTAAGGAGATGCAGTCCCATGGAAGCCGGTGACCAACAATTGGTTCGTACGCCATTTGTTCCCGCAGAATAACGGAAGAAGATAGATATCTATCATCTGGCGTTATTGGTTCGATAGACTTGATTTTTTTTCGTAGCCAATTTTATACACATTCAGCCTTTTTGTTGCATTATCTAAATCTCTTAATTTGACTTAGAAGGAATTGATCAATCATCTGTAAATTGTTAGACCAGAAAATCTCTTACAACTTTCATACAGCTCATTCTTATCTATTAACTTGTTATTTCTTTAAATATTTAGTGATTGAAAAACACCTTAGTCTTGTATTATGAGTAGCAGTAGTAATAAGAGTAGTATTGTTTAAAAAAAATAATGATATGAATGAGTATTTACCTTTCTGGTGAAAATCTCCATGCTAACATATCATCATTACTTTGTCTATATTTATTTTGTGCTTCTTTTGTTATTTCATGTAATTTTTTATAAACAAGATTCATTGAAGGTTCAAAGAAATGTTTCAATGTAATTAATGAACTAGCATCAATACCAATAGAATTTGATGAATAACCAGATGTTGTTGATGCATGTACTTTACTAAATTTCGCTCTTTTAGCAGGCTTTATATTTTAAAATGTAAATAGTATTAAACAGTTATGTTATTATTTGCATTTTTATTGAATAATAAAATCAAAAAAACATACACTAGATGATGTAAAAACTTTATAAACCTGTTTATGATTCTCTAAACTTTATTTTCTTTATACTTGTATTTGTTTTGTGTTAATCGTACTACTTGCCAATTATAAGTAGTTTGAGTTTCAGTAAGTCATTTTTACGAACAGCATAGTGTAGCAAATGACATGACTGTTTTAACGATACGCTCAACATATCTGTTTATGAGCGCATTTCAACGTTTTGGTCTAATAATATGATGGCAATCCTTATTCACTGTTTTTTTAACATTTTTCGTGAGTGACACTGTTCGGAATGATGTTTGTCAGGAACAATTAACTGACTTTAAAAAAGTGGATGAGACTTTAACCTGAAACAACCATGAGATTTTTACTTATAATATAAGCTATAATCTAAAGGCTAAGAGTGTCCAAATTGTAGTCATTGGGTATCGAATGTATGTAGTTGATCCGATTCACTAGGTTTGAGTAGCCACGTTAAATCACTAGTTAAATATAGCTTAAAGTCTAAGTCGAAAGAAGATAAATGAACAAGAGGACAGTAATATATCCAGCTAAACCGTAATATCAGATGTTTGTAACTCTACAACCAAATTAAAAGTTTACATTTAAAAACAAAACACTGTATATCTAAATAGTAACTCAGTAAGTTAAAATAGACTGGGTGCTCAACGTCTCACCACTTCAATTGCATGAGACCTCATGATATTGTTGACAGTCTATATTGAACCAAGTGAGAATACGATTTAAATCCAGAATCTAATTGTTGAAACTTCAATAGTTATTACTGATCTATATTTTACTCAATGAGAACAAGTGAACTATTCCTTTAGACCTGAATGTGAAAGTATAAAGTGGAAATAAAAATCACATTACAAGATAACTCACCAATATATATTCCATTTGAGCTAAACTGAAGTCCGCATTAATATAACGCGCTAAATAAGAATCCAATTGTTCATGATATTTTTTCTCAGCTGCATAAATTTGATTTTCTACATATTTATTTATATATAAACCAAAAATATAAAAAAACTAATAAACAAACCAAGATCTAACTTTTCTTCATCTAACAATTTGAGTTTTTCTTCAAGACTTCGTATTGTACCATCTTTATTGTTATCTCTAGTGAAGATTTAAGAAGAAAGAAATCATCACAAAGAAACCATACATATTGTCCGGATTATCCATGTCTGAATTATACTTATTGTCTACAGGTGATTTGATCTGTGATGTATGATCTGCCATCATTGTTCAGACCTGAAATAAGAATCCAATATAATGCACAGATAGACAAAGACTTTTGAGTGATTGTTTTCAATATTATTTCACAGTAGTACCTGAACGATGAACCAATAAATACTTCATTTAATCATTTCATAAAATATATTTATAAAAGCTACATAACGTTAAACACATATGTGTTCAATATTACTTCGGTAGTTTTGTTTGCTTTAAACGATGTGACGGAAAGACAAACCTGACCTAATATCTAAATAATACCGGATAATATTATGAACTTGTTTTTATGATCCCACAGATATCACCTAACGAATATTAACTGAGATTCCTACGTTGTTCTTCTAAACATTTTCGGTGAAAATTTAATCTATGGGAGGTAGTGAAAATGTCTTGACTGAACCATCTGAGAGAAAGAAATATGCATAACATAACTTTCAAATCGACCTTTTCCTCCAATATCTCGAACATATACTTAAAGGGATTATGTTATACAAGCGTGCGACCCTCTCAGTTAGTACCAAAAGTATACAATGAGCAGAAAATGAACAAATCCAAACCCCAGAATGAAAAAGGAAAGAAGTACTAAAATAACTGGATAGCCAGTAATGAAAACAGGAAACATCATGAAAGGGATGAAGTTATCACAAAACTAACCAAACCTTGTCACGAAAGTGAAAACTCACTAAGCAGTAATGAATAGAACATATTTCTACTTTCCATGAGATAACTAATTATTTTTCACTTAGTTTACTGATTTATTCTCGCGACTATCTTGAATTTATGGCACCGAAACTATCACTAAGATCAAGCTTAGTGAATTTCGAATTTTTGCAGGTTCGTCAAGTACACTACACTTCGATAAATGTACAACTGTCAATGGACACTACAGAGAAATGTATGTCCATTTAACCTGTCCAGAGGTTTTTCACCAGTGGTAATCAGTTTCCTTCATAAGATATAGCCTAAAAATTCAAACAAAACACCCAACATTGTGATCATCTAGTAATTCCTGGCACAGAATAAGCTCTGATGCTGAAAACGTGTGGTAAAAAATAACTCCACGGCCGAAAAACTGCTTTTGTTCTCCGCGTTTTCTAATCTTGAGGGTGACTGGAAAGATCACACTAATAAAAAAAGATAAATATATGAGTTCAAAAAAGAAATGACGTTAGAGAAACTGACAGTGGGGTAATATAGGTGATCTGGTGAAGTCTATAAATAAACTGATGTATTAACAGTGAGAAATATATGACATTTGGCTCGAAAAAATAGAGTGTCAAACGAGATGGTGACAACATTGTTTCATACCCCTCGAAATCAGTGAACTTAAAGCACCGTTTAGAAATAATGAGTTGGAGAGGTAAACAAAACACGGTCGTAATGTAAAACCGTATATTTCGAAAGTCATCTTTACATATTAGTTATTTACAAAATACGACATTGTACGGTATAAGTAGTCAGATTATAGGGAATAACGCCATTCACAGAATACTGATAAACAGTAGAACAACTGTCGCATTTTTACAAAAACAAGGAAAGTGTAGGATGACTGAACAGTGAACATTCAAAAATGGAACAACAAAATCAATCATTTTCAACAGTCATTGGAAAAGATAAACTCTCCATCAGACCATCTACTTTCTCTTGAAGTTTACTAAGAATATCTGCATCGATAAACAAATGATAGTCATCTAAATCCGTATGTACGAAATTTTTGCCCAAAACTAAATTTTCTGCTAAATGTAGGAGAAATTGTTTCATAGCAGGGTCACTGAATTATAATCAACAATTAGATGGTAACTATTAATATTCACATTACCACTTGACGAGAATTCCTTTATGAACATTAACCATTGCTGCGGACGTGAGCTCGACAATATGAAGAGTTTTTTATGCTGTAGGAAAAGTTAACGTGTACGAATGTTAGAAGTCAGTCAAAAAATATTATTATAACAATAGTAACCAAATAAAGTATGGAGCTTAGCTTTCATGCTAAGCTGTATAAATAAACAAAACGTAAGCACGAGATAACTGTACTCACTTTTAATGAAAATAAAATATACTATAGTGCCCCAAGTTGGGGACTCAGATCAAAAAATTAATACAAACGTTATTAGTGATAGGCGAATAAAAACTCAGATCTTCACTTAAACATGCATAAAAAGTGATAAAATAATAACAATTAATACGAAATGAACGATACTTGAGAAAACATGTTATTAGAAAACACCAAAAACTGAGTTCACTCAAAAGGATCAAAGTTCTTTCAACTTCTCGACATCTTTTGAATATCTTTCAAACTATTGATATCCAATGAAGAGATCTAGATAAATCCTATGCCCAACCACCGACTGCCCCGATGAGCGATGCTTTATGGTGTAGGAGTAGGTTAGGAGAAAGCTAGGAGTGGTCAGACCAAAACATGGCACAAGTCCATGAAGTCACTGACAAGTGGACTGCGTCATGTTGGTAGGTGTAGACTAAATGGTTGGGATCCGCGAGATGAAAGCAACCGATGGTTAGAGACATTGAATGACGTGTCTAAAAATCGTTTGCAATGGTGCACGTGCATCCACTCTTTGTGTTCTCCTAAATTATAATCTTCTGAATTCTTCATGTCCCTTTCTTTTTTTTCTTTCGAAATTTATTTCACGGGATTATACTCTTTGAATAACATCTTCAAACCTTAGTCTTTCCGACTACTGCTTATACTTTTACTACCTCTACCACTAAGCGATTTAAATCGACAATTGTATCTGTGCGCTAATGTGGTATGGCAACTTGAACTGATGTAAGTAAGTACGAAGTTCTAAGTTATTGCCGACTAACTTTAGCTAAATCCGCCTCAGTGAATATTTGCTGTCTATTAAGTGCAAATGAAAAATCATGAATACATGGAATAGAATATGTCAGTAATCTTCGAGTTGTTTGAAATTCGATAGGCCCCATAAAGACACTAATCTTCGACTCTATTACTATATGTAGTGATGGTACTTAAAGGTCGGATAATGCTTAATTGTATTACCAGAACTTCAAGTTAGCAGCGGCGAGTTTACCACGTGGTATGCCCCGAGTCCAAGACTTAACTGGCTAACCTTTGGTGTATCATATAATGCAAAAGTGCTTCAGACTACCAACCCGATGTTTTGATTTTATGGCTTCTGAATGCTGCTGAATGATCACGCCTAAAGCACCGTCCAATGACGTATTAATTCTAATTCTGTGTATTCAATCAAAAAGTTGGATGGACATGTAAGTGAGCTCGGAAATCAGTAAGCTCCCGGTAGTTAACATTAACTAGCAGATTGAAAACCCTCAAAAAACCACACCGGAAATAGCAGGATCAGAACCAGGTACTATAATCATCCAACTAAACTGACGCCAAATATCAAGGTCCGAAATAAACAGCTGTCCTCCAACAGCCTTGTTTTTTAGAGATTACTTCCTTTTCTTTGTTATAGGCCGCCAGGTTGGTGTCAAATTAATAATGCCAATCTACTCATCTGTATACCAGGAAATGGGGACCTGAAGTCATATCGCGGGAGAGGGTCGTTTACGAAATTGAGAGGACGAAAAGCGAATGTCCGGTGCTTTAACCGAGTTGGTGGATACGGAGAGTCCACTTAGGGGAGTTGGAAAACCCTGATTCCAAACAAATGGTGTACATGGGCTCCAGTATCCTGAAAGAACAAATGACTTATGAACCAATTATTGGTCACCAGCTACCATGGGACTGCATCTTCTGACGTTGCTCCATTGCCTTCTGGATCAGACCTTTGTGGTAAAGGCTCGGGGTGTGGCCCCCCAAGAAAACCACCTGCTTCGGTTTAGGCATCCGGGCAGTACCCCAGCTCCCGCACAAATCGAATAATTTATGTGGCGCATATTTGTTTGATGCCTCCTTGCATCAATGTGTTTAAACAAATAAATAAAATAAAAACAAAATAGGTGGCTAGGAAGTTAGTCAGTAACTGCTACTGTCTAGTCATAGAGTTTCCCAAAACGGGAAGTCTTAAACAACTTTCGAGTTGTCACACGATTTATTGCTTTGTTATCATATTTTCGACTACATAAATAGATGAGTTTTATGTCAGTCAGTTATGCACAGAGTAGAACCCAGTACGTGTGTACATCGGTTCAAGTTGCCAAACCCATTAGCACAAAAAGATGATATTGTCAAGTCAAATCTCAGAGTTTATTATTTATTTTAACACATAGATATTGGTACAAGAAGGCACCAAATACATATGCGACACACAAATCTCATTTGATTTGTGTGAGGGCTGTGATACTGCCCGAGTACCCAAACCGAACCAGGTCGTTTCCTTAGGGGGCCACACCCCGAGCCTTGGACCTGAAGGTCTGGTCCACAAGGCAGTGGAGCATCGTAAGGAGATGCAGTCCCATAGAAGCCGGTGACCAACAATTGGTTCGTACGCCATTTGTTCCATCAGGATACGGAGCCCATGTGCATCACTGGTTTGGAATCAGGGTTTTCCAACTCCCTTAGGTGGACTCGCCGTATCCACCAACTCGGTTAAAGCACCGGACATTCGCTTTTCATTTTCTTAATTTCTTAAACAACACCACCGCCAGGAGAAGGCAGTGAGTAGGACTTCCCTGGCAGAGGCAATATACGCGTGGCCATGTGAGAGTATTTCGAGAGGGAGAGCGGACTCTCTCCACTCTCGGCTGTACCAGGGCGTTTGGGGGCATCTCAGAGTAGCAGAGATAGTAACAGTATCAGTAGTAATAGAAAAGATTAGGTAATGAAGATACAGACAATTTTAGGTAATTCAGAAGTCCAGGATTTGGGGAAAGACATAGAATGAATTAACCTGGGCCACTGCAAAAATTCTTAGGCTGTGTCATTTAAAGCTCGCAACCAGTGGTTCTGGTAGTCGAGCGGACCGAAACCAGGTAATCTACACCTATTAACATGGCTCAGTACAATTGTTAATACATTCATAGCCTGGTGCCAATCTTTGGTAGCCCCTAGCTTTCTTCCAGCCTGCCACCTGGCATTTTAGGACATTTTCGGCCTAAAAACACTTCCCCGACAATTATTCGTGGATGTACTATGAAGAGACATCTTTAATGCTTTTAACTTTGCTATAGTATTAGCTAATGTTGATGAATATTGCGAACGTAGCACCGCCACATGCCGAAGTGGAAATGATTGAAATCGGCACGAGATTAGGAGCCACTAATAAATTTTATAAGTGGAGCATGATTTGGTATTAATATTAAAATTCAATCCGCCACATAGACCATATTTTCCATAGGTAACACAAAATTTGTCGTGCTAATACCAGGCTCTAAACCCAAACATTCAATAAAATGCACCGGTGACCCTATAAGGGCTAATCATTTGCTCTATCTGAGCATTTTAAACATTTTACTAAGTTACTCCAAGGTGAAAATCTTGTAATATTGACAAACCATAGACCTCTAAAAGCCTACGTGTCAGCTGTCGTATGCCTTTAAAGCTGACAATGACTAATACTTCCCAAGAAATTCGACAGCTGGACTGTTCTAGTTTTCGTTTAATATACGTTATATCAAAGGTGAAGACAATACCTGAGTTGATAAAGTTCACATACGTGGTACATGACAGATCTGTCATGTACATCTATCATGACATCGATGTCATTCAGTTAGCTAGAAAAGAATCTACAAGCACCCAGATGTATTATTGAATTTAAGTGTCCCAAACTAAATTTTTGCCTTATCTGTATACAATGATTTGAAAACCTACCCAACTTAAAGTGAAGAAATTTAAAAAGAGTCACAAAAGCCACTTTGTAGCGGATCACTTAATTACCCGCTACGTATCCAATATCCAGGATATCAGTTTCAGTTCAGTTTCAGTTTGGGAAGGACAGGAGGCTCGATGGCCTATGTTAGTCCTGGCAATGGTGGTCTCTCAGTTGATCAAACTTTCTCTTGAAAAAGTCGATGGATGGAGTCTCAACCACGTGCTGAGGTAGTGAATTCCACTCGTTGATGATTCGATGGGAAAGTCGATGGTCAGCTGACAAGTAATTTGTTCTCGGCTTATGAACTTTTTTGGAGTGTCCTCGTAAATTCTCTGTTTTGGAAGACAAGAAAAATGAGGGCATATCAGGTGCAAATTTGGCACTAAGCAATTTGAAAACTGTAATCAAGTCGCCTCTAGTTCTGCGATAAGACAACGGGAAAAGGTTCAGCTTGGCCAGTCGAGATTCATACGGAAGCTTCGCTATTCCAGGAATCAGCTTAGTCGCCGTTCTCTGAACCTTTTTCAGAAGTTCACTGTCTTTTTTTAAGCAGGGGCTAGCCGCTTGTATGCAGTACTCAAGTTTGGGACGTACGAACACTGTATACAAAGTCGACATGACTAAAAGCTCTACGTATTGACCATAACGTTCTAAAACCTTTGGCGGCTATTGCACGGTAGTGTGCAGTAGTCTTTAAGTCTTGACTAACGATAACTCCTAAGTCATTATATGTCTGGACGACAGGTAGCTCAGTGTTATTCATCGTGTATGTATCTGTGCCTTGATGACCGATGTGCATCACAACACACTTGGAAGTATTTATCGGCAACTGCCATGTTTGAGACCATTCAGATAATTTCTTCAGGTCATTTTGAAGTTCTAAGCTATCACTCTTACATCGTATCGTTTTCCATATCTTGACATCGTCAGCATATAGCAAGACCAATGATGATAGGAGACAAGGAAGGTCATTTACGTACAAGAGGAATAGCACTGGCCCCAAAACTGTACCCTGGAGCACTCCACTAAGCACAGTTTCTAAGCTAGATAACTTTGAGTTCACCCTTACTCTTCGTTGACGCCCAACTAAGAAGTCTTTTATCCACATCAATAATTTGCCTTCAATCCCGAATATTTTAAATTATATAACAGCCGGTTGTGCGGAACTTTGTCAAAAGCTTTACTGAAATCAATGAAGGCGACGTCTACAGATAGCTTTTGGTCCTTAAGAGCGCACCAGCTTTCACGAGCCACTAATAAGTTAGTGAGACAAGAGTAACCTATTCTGAAGCCGTGCTGCTTCTCCGAGAGGATCCGGTTTTTATCGAGATACTTAAACAGCTCCTTCCGAATAATCTTTTCTAAGATCTTAACAACCATACTAGTTAGGCTAAAGGGGCGGTAGTTCTCAGGTTTGTGTTTCGTACCTGTTTTGAAGACAGGACTTACTATGGCGTTTTTCCAGTCTTTTGGTAAACGACTCTGCGTAACGGATAGGTTAAAGCATGTACTTAAAAGGCTAGCAACGAAGTTAGATAGTTCCTTCAGTAGCCTAGGATGTAATTCATCGGGCCCCGTGGATTTACCTATGTCAAGCTTATTTAGCAGACCAAAGACATCGAGTTCTTTAATGGTCACGCTATCCAGTGTATGTATGGGGGATCTGTATACACTGACGGGAAGGGCGCTTCTATGGTATATACATTGCTAAAGTAGTTCGAGAACACTTGAGCCTTACCAAAGTCGTCCTCCACTAATGATGAAGCAGTACTGTCTCCCCATATAGCAGGAATATTTCCTTTTCTCCTTGTCCTTTGGTTTATATAGGAATACAAGCGTTTAGTACATTCTATGGATTCCTTAACAAGTTTTCCTTCGTACAACTTTCTAGACTTACGGAGGGTCGAGGCACAAGTATTCCGAGCCTTTCGATACTGAGATTTTGACTCATCAGTCCCCAGTAACCTAAATCTATCCCACATTTTC